TTGGGCTCCGCCCCTTAGTTCCAGTGAAGGGAACTCTTAAGGCATCAGCACACCAAGACATTTTGGACAATTTCATGCTCCCAACTTTGTGGGAGGAGTTTGGGGACGGCCCCTTCCTGTTCCAACATGACTGCGCACCAGTGTACAAAGCAAGGTCCATAAAGACATGGATGGGGGAGGGGGGGAGGAGGAACGTGACTGGCCGCACAGAGTCACATAGAACACCTTTGGGATGAATTAGAGCGGAGACTGCGAGCCCCTCCCCCAACATCAGTACCTGACCTCACAAATGGTCCAACATGCCCATAGACACACTCCTAAACCTTGTGGACGCCTTCCCAGAAGAGGCGGAGCTGTTATAGCGGCAAAGGGCGGAGCCAACCCAATACTGAACCCTGCGGACTAAGACTGGGATGCCATTAGAGGGCGGAGCCAACCCAATACTGAACCCTACGGACTAAGACTGGGGGGCCATTAAAGTTCATGTGCGTGTAAAGACGTCCCAGTACTTCCGGCATTATAGTGTATATATCACATTCATCTCATCCACCTATCCCCATGGATACAATAAAAGTTAGGCATACACCAGTTGGGCCTATTATCTCTGAGGAAACCTATCCTGCCGCAGCTTTTACACTGCCGTGTCCTCTGCAGCCTCTTGTTTCTTAGTGAGGGTTTGATGGGGACTGGACAGTGTTGGAGAACACGGGCAGCCTACTGGCCAAACTCTACCCGCCGGTAAAAGCGTGACTATTAACCCTTCGTGATGACGTGTCACCGACAACACGACCTACAAAGCGCCCCCCCATTGCAGGGCCCGGCTGCCACCTTCTAACAGGCGCGGCTCTGCGCTTCTCACGGCACGTGTATTGCGGTGTTCAGGCCCGCTACCGTGAATGTCCTATCATGCGTCCTATCATGCGTCCTATCATGCGTTTATAGCATGGTGCGTGGGAGGTCACATAACAGGCACGGCCCGGAGGCGGAGCTCTAAGGAAAAGGTCTTTATTGGTCCCCGGGTCGGGGGCTCATATCAGCTTGGTGTAGGTCAGCTCGGCCATCCCGTCCCGGATGTAGCGGAAGTACTCCAGGTTGCCGCGGTGCATCTTGCACTGGTACTTCCCGGAGCTCTTCACGTACTGCAGGAAGTGGGGGGCCCCCGGGAAGAGCACGTTGTCCGCCAGGATGATGGTCCCTTCCTGCAGGAGGCCCACTTCCTCCAGCAGCTGGAGGTCCCGCAGGTAGCAGCGCATCCCGTGATCCATGAAGATGAAGTCCAACTTCTGCACGCCGTGCTTGTCCTTCAGCTGCGCGATGACCTCATCCGAGGGACCCACCAGGAGCTCCACCTGCAGGCGGGGCGGAAGAAGACAGGCGTAAGGGGCGGGAATACAGGAGCCATGACGACGGTACACGGGGCCCCCGAACACTTACCTGACAGCCACCCCTCCCCCCCATTAAACATTAACCACACTGGATCTGTCGTCAGATGTATAATTTTATGTTGGGTGCTGAGCATTGTGTCATGTGACCCTCTCACAGAGATCACATGACTGCCCCTGACAATGCCTTCATCTGCTTTGCTCTCCAGAAGGACGGCACCACCTTTGTTCAGGCATCGTCCAGGGGGTCACCATCTACTTCCTGGACTGAGATGACGGCTCAGCGTTGACCCAATCATGTAATGTTCCGGTGTCTGCGCAGATCTTGACTGTGTTCACAAATGGCTGACACAGATCAGCCCTCTGCTGCAGGCTTTCACCTTTGAATGGATACAAAGTTACAATGTTGCAGTTTGATGACTGGGGAGGGGAGACTGAGGAAATGCTTCCTCCTGTCTGCAGCAGACTGATCACTGGGGGAGGGGAGACTGAGGAAGTGCTTCCTCCTGCCTGCAACAGTCTGATCACTGGGGGAGGGGAGAGTGAGGAAATGCTTCCTCCTGCCTGCAGCAGACTGATCACTGGGGGAGGGGAGAGTGAGGTCCTGCAGACTAGGAGCCAGTTGGTGTCACTCCATAGCCGTATTACGTTGTAGCCGGTATTTCCCAGAATGCTCTCTGCCTGCTCCTTTCATTGGCTCACAGAGCCTGAGGCCAGGTTACAGACATCCCCTGCTATGTTGCAGTGTGATTGGCCATCAGCAGTAACTGTCACTTAGTGCTGGGCCCCCACAGAGGTCATGTGACCCTCCAGAGGGATTTACGTGGGAGTGAATATTGAAGGGTCCTCACCGTGTCATCATCGAAGCCGGCCAATCGGATGACCTTCTCAGCCACGGCGGCCTTCCTGGCGTTGTAGTCCACGGTGTAGAGGCGGGCCCCCAGGGGCAGGGCCTGCGCCATGATGATGGTGGCATAGCCGCAGTAGGTGCCCAGTTCCAGCACGTTGAGAGG